TAGGTATTGTAGGCCGAACCACCCCTTCTTCGATCAGAGCTGGGCCCGCGGGCACTACGATGGCTCTTCACGACGGTCTTCCAGGCTATCCATGTTACTACGTGATCCCTCTCAAAACCGGAGCTCGGATCCTGTTCTTTTTCAGGGCCTTCTGTTTCTCAGAGGGCATTAAGGGGTTGCCACCCACACGCCCTAAGTCTGAAAACCGGTGATGTCAGTGCTCACAGGTCGTGTGTTGATTGTGGGCCTCTCCTCGCTTTCTCTCTCTCTCTCTCTCTCTCTCTCTCTCTCTCTCCACACGCTAGGCCGCCCCCTTAAGGGGAGCCGCCCCGAAGGGTGCGAGAGTCCCAGGTGCCAGTCTGAGAACCCGCCCACGTTCTTCGGGTGTAAAGGACCTCTCTCTTCTCCAAACTTCTCTCTCGTGGGAAAGGGATTTCAAAGTTTAATTAAAGGACCGGATAACCCCACATGCAAAGTTTTCCATTCATAAAGAGTAAAGAAGTGATAGAGGATAAAAGAGTGAGAGAGCGAACGAGTGAGTGCGTGGCCGTGAGTGAGTGCGTAACTGAAGTGGAGACGAGCTCGTGAAAGCGTTCATGTGATGTCAGGTGCGTGAGTGAACGTAGTGTGCGCGTGATGTGTGGTGCGTGGTGCATAGTCCGTGATGTGTGTGCGCGTGTGATGTGTGATGTGTGCATGGTGTGTGGTGCGTGGCGCACGGCCGAGAGCTTCGTGAAGGTCTGGAGGCCCTCGACGTGGATCGGACCCTCTTCACCAGAGCATCTCCATGTTTCTTTGAACTCCTGAGATCGGAAGCACTGCTCACATAGACAGCATAATGTTGTATCCTGATTAGTGTGCTCCCCCGGAATTGTGGAAAAAAATCCAAAAATTATTCAGGGGGATCTATTTGAGGAGGACCCCCGGAACTGTGAAAAAAAATCGGGCGATGCAAAATTTCGGCGAGGCTGTCGAATGGTGTTGTCGTCCATAAATCGCTTCTGAACCGAGCCTGAGAGACCAAAGATCAAAAGTTTAAAGACTGAAACCTTGAGGCCTGAGGTTGTCGGGCCCTGAAATCTTCAGTCTCCAGGCCGGGCCCAGGGCTAAGATTTCCTTATTAAATTCTTTTGTACCGAGGCCGGGCAATCAAATTTCAAAGGGGGTAGTCCAGCAGCTGCCCGGATGCCGTATAATATAAAAGTTTGCTCCCCCGGAATTATATTTTTTTTTGCGGGCTAGTTGGGTTTGGATCCAGAGGCCTAAGGGCTGAGGTTTCCTAAACCTTGAGGCCTGAGGTTGTCGGGCCCTGAAATCTTCAGCCTCCAGGCCAGACCCAAAACTAAGATTTCCTTATAAAATTCTTTTGTACCGAGGCCGGGCAATCAAATTTCAAAGGGGGTAGTCCAGCAGCTGCCCGGATGCCGTATAATATAAAAAGTTTGCTCCCCCGGAATTATATTTTTTTTTGCGGGCTGGCTTGGTTGGGATAGATGGATCCCCTTTAAATTCATATAAACTCATCCCTCTTAAAATCGTATGGATCCCTCTTAATTTCATATAGTCTCACCCCGTTTAGAATCATATGGATCCCTTTTACACTCATACGAGCTCATCCCTTTTAAAATCATATGGATCATATGGATCCCTTTTAAATTCATATAAACTCATCCCTTTTAAAATCATATAAAACCAGACCCCCCCCCCCCCCCAAATTGCCCCCCCCCCCCCCCCCCCTCTAAAGAGCGGGATCCTTTCGTTGAGGGGGGGGGGGGGGAGGGGGGGGGGGGGAGGGGGGGGGGGGAGGGGGGCGGGGGGGGGGGGGGGGAGGGGGGGGGGGGGAGGGGGGGGGGGGGGCCACACTAATCAGCAGACAACATTACACGTGAAGCCGAGTCTGAGTCTCATCTGCAAAGTGCACGATGTGCATGCATAGTCCAGCAACAAGCAGAGTCGCAAGCTTGTCCGCGAAGTCGCACGCACGTTTCTCTTTGCGCCGACTTCCCAGTACGGGTTGCACAGCGCGTCGTAGCTTCGGTGCACAGATGGCGAAGATCTCTGGAGCACGATCATCCCTTATCCTAAACCTCAAGCCCTAAGCGACGGCAACAACCTAAGGAACCAAACATGCATTGCTCCAGAGCTCTCATTTTCTAAACCGACTATTAAATCCCTAGAGTTCCTGGGACCTAGTGGGTCTTACCTTTTATAGCTTATTGGCAAGTCATGCACTGTTGATGGCCTGAAAGCTTGGGGAGAGGCCTTAGCCCCGAGAAGACAGATCCCCAAAACCCTGAAGAGGAAGCACGCAAGGTTCAGCAGCAGCTTAAGTGGACCCCAGTCCATCCCTGAATCCCCGAACTGGATTCCGTGCAGTTCATTTAATTGAAGCCTGCCGTATTGGTTCTGTATGTGTGCGCTGGCTGATTCCGGGGTCCTGGGTCGGTGCCTAAACCTTAGGGAAACCAGGACAACAGTCGGAAACTGAGGAGCAATTCGTTTGATTCCAGCAGTAGCCTACAGATAGGGAAGAGGAAAAGGGAAGCCAGCACGAAGTCCATCTCGACCGGCCATTCTTGGGTAATCCGGAGGAGCTTCCTGAAGCTGAAGCGGCGGAGCTTAACCGCGCCTGCCAACACGTTAACGACGCCTGTGTCGCGCCTGCCAGCGTTTCGCGAGCCCCCGAAACGCGCGCGGCACCGGTCCAGGGCCCCTAAGCACTGTGCCTGCCAGCACAAACTACGCCTGTGTCGCGCCTGCCAACGCCTGTGTCGCGCCTGCCAGCGTTTCGCGAGCCCGCGAGGCGCGCGCGGCACCGGTCCAGGGCCCCTGAGTACTGCGCCTGCCAGCACAAACAACGCCTGTGTCGCGCCTGCCAGCGTTTCGCGAGCCCCCGAGGCGCGCGCGGCAACAGCCCAGGGCCCCTAGGTGCCGCGCCTGCCAGCACGAACGACGCCTGTGTCGCGCCTGCCAGCGTTTCGCGAGCCCCCGAGGCGCGCGCGGCAACGGCCCAGGGCCCCTAAGTGCCGCGCCTGCCAGCACGAACAACGCCTGTGTCGCGCCTGCCAGCGTTTCGCGAGCCCCCGAAACGCGCGCGGCACCGGTCCAGGGCCCGTGAGTACTGCGCCTGCCAGCACAAACAACGCCTGTGTCGCGCCTGCCAACGCCTGTGTCGCGCCTGCCAGCGTTTCGCGTGCCACCGAGACGCGCGCGGCACCGGTCCAGGGCCCCTGAGTACTGCGCCTGCCAGCACAAACAACGCCTGTGTCGCGCCTGCCAGCACGAACGACGCCTGTGTCGCGACTGCCAGCGTTTCGCGAGCCCCCGAAACGCGCGCGGCACCGGTCCAGGGCCCCTGTGAGTACTGCGACTGCCAGCGCAAACAACGCCTGTGTCGCGCCTGCCAACGCCTGTGTCGCGCCTGCCAGCGTTTCGCGAGCCCCCGAGAGACGCGCGCGGCACCGGTCCAGGGCCCCTGAGTACTGCGCCTGCCAGCACAAACAACGCCTGTGTCGCGCCTGCCAGCGTTTCGCGAGCCCCCGAGGCAACAGCCCAGGGCCCCTGGGTGCCGCGCCTGCCAGCACGAACGACGCCTGTGTCGCGCCTGCCAGCGTTTCGCGAGCCCCCGAGGCGCGCGCGGCAACGGCCCCTAAGTGCCGCGCCTGCCAGCACGAACGACGCCTGTGTCGCGCCTGCCAGCGTTTCGCGAGCCCCCGAAGCGCGCGCGGCAAAGGTCCAGGGCCCCTGAGTACTGCGCCTGCCAGCACAAACGACACCTGTGACGTTTCCCGCGTGATGTGGTGCGTGATGCGTGATGTAGTGCGTGATGCGTGACGTGGTGCACGTGATGTGGTGCGTGATGTTGTTGTGCGTGATGTTATTTGGTGCGTGATGTGGTGCGTGTGATGTGGTGCGCGTGATGTGGTGCGCGTGATGTGGTGCGTGTGATGTGGTGCGTGATATGTAATGCATGTAGGTGCGTGATGTGCGTGATGTTGAAGGAGGAAAGAAAGAAAGAGGAAAGAGAGAAGGAAAGAGAGAAGAAGCAAGGAAGGAAGGAAAGAGGAAGGAAGGAAGGGAGGAAGGAAGGGAGGAAGGAAGGAAGGAAGGAGGAGGAGCGCGGGACAGCCCCAAAAGTAAGAACCCCACACAAAGATGTGGGGAAAAAATTTCGTCAGTTCAGTACCTTGGCTAAACACGTGATCCCGGCTGAGGCATGAGCCGCGAAGGCCAGAGCGCGTACCACCATGATGGTCAACAGAGACTCAAGCGCCAAGGCACCGTTTGGAAGTGCCGACTGCTATTGCTGAACTTCTTCACAGAGTCTTGCTCGCTGTCCAAATCGTGAGGCTATTCTCTGGTCAGAATTTGAGAAGAATCGTGGAGTCCACGATACGTGGCCTACTGAACCATGGTGTGACAAACGCAGCTTGCGATGAAGCCAAAGACTTCGGAGCGATAGAGGACTGGATCACTGCAATCATCACTGTTGAATAGGTCTGAGGCAGCTCATGTCACGATGGCCGCCCGGCAACGATCTCTTCACTGCATCGCCAACACGAAATGTCAAAAGGAAATTGGTGAGACTTGTGTCAGGCCAACGTTCTGGGAGATTCAATCTGACATGACGTCTTCCTCTTGTGTTGAACCTTCCCAGCCCATGACGTTGAGCAACCAAGGAAATCGGTTGCACGTAGGTTCTTGAAGGAGCTCCGCAAGCAAGCGAAAATAAGAGCGAGCACCCCTCCGAAACTTGCGTGACACTAAGGCAACGCTTACGGCGTAAAGGAGGCAGCGAGCACGATGCCGAACACTTTTAAAAAACCTGCCATGTACTGCAGCAAATCCATCACATCTTCAACAACTTCAACAGAGCTGCATTGCTACGGCAACGGATGCTGCGCCTCCGAAATATGCACAATCTAGACATGCATCCTGATGCTCTCAGGCACGCATGATTTTCACATCAGTGTAAAGCTAGAGATGCAGCTGTGAGCGCATCAGGGAAGTCCGAAACCTTCACTGTTTGCGATAGCCTGACTTGGCTCCATCTTCTGCATCGCTTATGCATCTTATGCTGCCTGTGCTGGAAATCATATGCTCCATGCCGTCCATGTGATGGCCGTCAATCGGCCAAATCGATGCTCAAATCGTTGTTTCACTACAAAACTGGATGCACATGATACAAAGCAATGTGGTCGGCTTGGGAGGCGGCCAGCAAAAGCCTTGGCTGCAGCAGAGATTTCACACAGGCTGACGTGCTGACCAACAGTGATGTCCCAAACCTACCATGTAGTGTGCAAACCGGGAGCCCGTTGCGCAACTTCTCCTTGGTCGAGAAGCGCGGAAGAAGCAACTGACCTGGCCACTGGCAGCAGGCAGCACTCACCCGGCGACATGATCCCCGAAGACCGTTTACAACAGGATCTCACGCTGAAGCCGCAAAACGAAGGCTGCCTGTGCTAAGCAGGACCACATTTTTCAGATGCATGGTGCTACTTGCACACACGTTTTTGATGGTCCCTTTGCTTTTGGTACTTTTGGTGCTTGCTTGCTTTGACAGGCCCGACATGGCCCGACCATGGACCTGAGGGTACGTACTGCACAGTGAGCCATACCGGGATCTGCCCGTTGACTTCCCTAAACGCGTGAGCGCCGCTGAAACAAGTGTAAGCAGATGGTAGACGCTCATCTCCGACACCGTTCTTTTGCACGATGAGGCCTGCAAAATACTTCCGCGAAGCCTTCATACCTTCGGACCTTCTAGGCTCATGCAACGAGGGGAAGGGCCAAGAACCTTGCCTAGGGATTGCCATCCCTTCAAAGGCACCCGATCACTGGCCGTGACGAAAATCAAGAACTGGGCCTGAGACGAGCCACGACAGGCTCCACCCGCTGAACGTTGCAGGTCGAAATCAGGATCAGCGACATACTGAAGTGTCAAGAAGACATCACAAGTCTCTTCCTCACCCAGCCTTCTCTGCAGGACTGACGCTTGCAAGAACCTGCTTTGACCGAGCTTCTCCACTACATCACTGTGTACTGCCGTGTCCATGTGCGCTGCTGTGGTGACGTGCAGGCTGCCTCCCACAACCATGGTAAATATTCCAACCTTAGGTTGGAAGCTTCAATGCAGCAAAACACGGTCACAAGGCAACTTGTGCATGCAAAAACTTGCAAGGTGTTCGGAGTTGACGCTGGGCTGGTGAGTTTGGGAGTTTTGCGTGGTGGTCATTATTCGTATGGTTGCTTGAAAGGGAGCGAAGAGGTGGGTAGCAGAATTTGCGGCCGGGAGATATCAAGTTGCATAGACGCAATCTACACAATGGCACGGCCAGGCTCCCAGCCTATCCTCCTCTGTCCAGCCCTCGAGCTCTGCACTAGAGCGGATTGCGTCAACCTCAAACACACGGTATCAATCGTTTCACGATGGCAGAAAGGAGTGCTAGATGGACAAGCTGCATCTACATTGTCAGCTCTGCCACAAACAATCTTCTCGAGCTGAACCTGGCACGTTTCTTGGTCAATTGAAGCGGCCGGTTGCTTCTCAGACTCTGAACTTCCCATGCGCGATACATGGACCAGAAGATGGAAAAGGTTGCTTGGGGTCGTGCCGCATCAACAATAGTGCGAAGCAGCGACCTGGCTGACATATGCCCCATGTAGCAACCATGCGTCGCGAATCGGCAACGAGCTCCGGCAATGCAAGGGCGAGGTTCGCGACAAGACAACGAACAATATATTTTTGCATCACGCTGCGTGGCCAATGCATGCCGTGTATGCCGAGCAGCGCAGTCAGCGCAGTGCAGCACATGATGTGACTAGCATTGCGGCGTCGACCTGGCATCCCTTGTCCCCGACAGGGCAGTCAGTCCCTTCCCCCACGCCACGCCCCAGCGTGGGTGGCTGAGCTGCGAGAATTGACTGAGAGAAGATGAGGCTCTCTCATTGCAGTGGGTCGTTTGTGCCCGGCAAACGGTCAGGTGATGCTCTTCTCATTCTGTCTTTCTTCCATTCGTTCGTTGGGCAGTAGGGGGCGGTGGGCGGGCGGTAGGGGGCCGGGGTGGGGTGAGGATGGGTGAGGGGTTTGAGGGGTGGAGGTGGGAGAAGGGGTGGGAGGGGTGCGGGGCATCGCACTCAGTACACGAGAAAGGCCTCGAGCGTTCAGCTTTCAGCGAGAGTTGGAGTGCGACTTGAAGAGAATGAACGGTGCCTGTTCTTAAATACCCGGACATCTAAACAGTCAAACAGGTATTTCATACTACCTCCGTGGAGCGCGGCGTCAGGCCGCCCAGCGTTTTAAACATCCGGAAATAGACCCTCCAGCAAGCCTTCCCGCGCCAGCCCCCCTCCAGCCAACACCCCCCCCCCCCCCAACCTCACCAATCACCCAAACCCCCTCCAGCCAACACCCTCTCTCACCCTAACCCCTCCAGCCAAGCCAAACCCCACATCCCCAGCCAACACCCCCCCCCCCAGCCCCCCCCAAAACACCCGCCCAGCCAAGCCCCCCTCCACAGCCAACCGCCCCCATCCAGCCAAAGCCCCCTCCAGCCAACACCCCCCAACCTCCACCCAGCACCCCTCCAACCCCAACCGGTTTCCACCCTCCAGCCAACCGCCTCCAGCCAACACCCCCTCCCCCCCCCCAGCCCCCCCCAAAACGCCTAGCCAAGCCCCCCTCCACAGCCAACCGCCCCATCCAGCCAACACCCCCCAAACACCCTCCAGCCAAAGCCCCCTCCAGCCAACACCCCCCCCTCAGCCAGCCAACCTCCACCCAGGGGGGGGTGTTGGCTGGAGGAGGGGGGGTTGGCTGGAGGGGGAGGGGTGGTGGAGGCTGGGGGGTTGTTGGCTGGAGGGGGGGGTTGGCCGGCGACAGGAAGGGCCAGGAAGGTGGGGAGGGGGGTTGGGGGGGTGCTTAGGGAGGGGCGGGCTTGGCTGGAGGGGGGGTTGGCTGGAGAGAGGGCGGTTTGAGGGTGTTGGTGGGAGGGGCAAGGGTGGAGAGGGGTGGGGGTTGGCTGGAGAGGGGGTGGGCGGTTGGCTGGAGGGGGGCTTGGAGGGGGTGGGGTGTTGGCTGGAGGGGGCTTGGCTGAAGGAGCCGGGAGGTGGAGGAAGGGTTTGGCTGGAGGGGGGGCTGGAGGGGGGGCTGGAGGGGGGGCTGGAGGGGGGGCTGGAGGGGGGCTTGGCTGGAGGGGCTAGTGCATAAACACGAAAACATGCGGATTTAAACTGGTCTTTTATACTACCCCCCTGGCCGTTGCTGGTTGGCCGCCCTCCACTTATTTAAAAAACGTCACCGAAGCGTTTTGCAGTAAACGAAAAACACGCAACACACAACTTGAGGTCTGGGGGGAGGCGACGGCAGCCCTCGTGCATCAGTGCACGGATCCGTTGAAGCCGAAGAAGGAGGCGGCGGGTTGCGTTCAAATGGCCTCCGTGCTGCCCAGGATATCTGCCAAAAACAGACCCGCATGACGAAACTTTTGGGGGGGTCCGCCCCCCCCCCCCCCCCAGACCGACCTTCTGGCAGGATGAAACGAAAGGCTCTGGGGAGAGCTTTCGTGGCATACTGCCGCACTCTCTCGGAACAGCAAGCAAGTCACATGTGAATGTCTGCAGGGAGAACGAACCACCGAGGATGGTCTTGAAGCCCTCGCTCAGTGGTTTCAGCCTTGTGAATACACCGAGTGCAGCCGCACAGCATTGTAAGCGGCAAGTTCAAGATCGTGAAATGTCCCGCGCACGGTGCTTTTGCCGAGGTTCCTAGCCTGCGACAACAATCCCACTCCGACCACTCCTCTGGACATGCCGAAACCTGGATAAGTCCTGAACCTTCGGTTCGCAATGCCCGCACCCCATGGCTGTGTGCAAAAAAGACTGAGATGTAGACTGGGCCTCGATCTTTCCATGAAAAAACCAATCAACATAAGCCTAAGTTCACGAAGCTGCTGGCTTCTGCAAGGTGCGCACGGTGCACTGCCAGACAAATACAGGACGGCCGCCTGTACAAAGTCTGCCTTGTTCGCCTGTGAGATCTGCAGGTCCTCTGGCAGCTGAGGGGACCCACCTCCAGGAGGACTCCACCAAAACAACGAATAAGCCAATCTGGCCGCTGTTTGCTTCTCCGCTCGAGTGCTCGACGTGGCCAAGCCAGGTCCCCAAACTTCTCAGCTATGTCCTGAAGCCCAGCTGGCGCAGGCGGAAGATCTTCCGTTCCTTGTAAACTCACAATAATATTCTCTTCACACTAACCTCTTTAATGAAGGAGTCTTGGAGAGGGTGACACGGCTAGTTAATACGGGGGTTACGGTGAGAAAGGGGAATGTGTGTCGCGAGGACGGGATGACAGTACGAATGGTGTGGTTTCTTGGAGAGGATATCATGAACTGGTCTGTGAACAAGCGAGCGGTCCCACCTTAACAGATTAACTCCTAGAGACAGAGGTTAATGAGCCCAGAGAACGTACCAGCCATGGACAGGCTTTTAATACTGCGGTCGCGAAGTTGGGATTCAAGGGCCAAGAAGTGAAGGTGTGACAGGGAGAGAGCGGTTAACCTGGCATGCGATTCCAAGGGTGTGAACGGTTAGACCAAGATATGAAGGGAACGGACCAGTGAATTGACTTCATGAGTGAGGAGTTCACAGGACCAGGCGTTAACAGGGTCTCAAGGTGTGACAGGGAGAGAGCGGTTAACTGGACACGGTTTTAGTACTAATCCTGGATGATAGGCACCCTTCACCCCCGGGAATCGATCCACGCAACACCGGGTACCGGGACGAAACTGTGCAACGTTGAAGAGGCTCTCTTCAATTTCAATATTCTTCCAGGTTCCTAGGCCCAGGAGTCCAGGTTTCCCATGAAAGAATGGCCCTCTCCAAACCCGCTGCGCCCCGGGGGATGGAAAGTAGATCCCCATTTCGCCCTTCAAAAAAGCCGCAAGCCTTCAGCATCAGTAGCTGCAGCATTTGTAAGGAGTACAAGGATGTATGCGCCGACAGTGCCGACCATGATTGCAGCAGTCGTCCTGGCCCGTGTACTCCAGAATCTGGCGCAAGCTCCTTAGCATCCGAAGCCGGTACTGGCCCATGCATGCTGTTTCCTGGTTCCTCCACGTACGCCGAGTACAGGACTTAGCAATGTGGGGACACACGGCCCCAATGTCCTGCAAAAGACCGGTATTCAAGGATTTCACAAATCTGCAAGCAACTGCCATCGGAAGACGGCCTCGAGCCTCAATTTCTTTGCGCACGGTGACTCCAGCTCCTGAGGGGCAACTGCCAACTGCATCCACATGCTTAAAAACTGTCGTTTTCGATTTGAAAGTGTCAGCATCACTTCGACGATAACAAGCCACAAACGCCTACTGCCAAGACGGAGTAACTACAGCATCAGTAACCCAAGCCAAGGTCCTCGAGAAGCCGATCGTAAAGAGCCTCAGCAAACAAAGAGAGAAAGAGAGAGAGAGAGAGAGGTTTCAAAAACAAATACAGAAAGTCTCCCCACATCAGGAAAGGGTTCTCTTCTGCTGTGCAGCAAGACACAAACGTCAACTTCACCATTTCGGCGTGATGGACATGAATCTGTAACACCATAAGGCTGTGGCCCGGGGGAAAATGTTAGGAACATGGATATGATTGAGCACCGCCTCCCATGCAAGTGTAGGAACAGCAAGGTCGCTACCGGGCACAACGGTGAAGTTGTGCTGACAGGTGTGCACAGTCTGGTGAATTGCCCCTTGCCTGGCCAAGCAGGATGCCATAAGAGCGGAAAAAATCTTCGGAGCCGACAGACCGCTCGTTCAACCAGTACCTCGCAGCATCCACGGATGAATGCTAACACCAGGTGTGCGATGAAACATCCAGAGAAATCTTCCTTAGAGTGATCCCCTGCAGCCTTGCGCGAAAAATCCCCCCCCCCCCCCCCCCCCCCCCCCCCCCCCCCCCCCCAACCCCCCTAACCCGCCCCTCTGCCCAGTTAGCCATCCACCCCCCACCGAAGAAGCAGCTGCGTGATTCACCATATGGACCAGGGCTCTCAATTTAATTCTCGTCCCTACTCGACCGGATTCCAGCAAGCAACTGGGCGCCACACGTTCGTGACCTTAGAAGCACGACTGTGGCTCAACATGCGGCTGCAATGGCATAATCTGTCTGATTTTGCTGAAATAGACCGAGCAACTGCTCATCGTATACAAAGAGCCGCTCGTTGTTGTGGCAAGCGTCCAAGAAACTGCGCAGTGCAACCTGCGAACAGTATCCAGAACGCCGAAGCGACCATGAAAAGGGAGAGCAGCGGCTGCTTTCCTCTAGCCAGCCTCTAGCAGACTCTGGCGAAAGATTCTGCATGCAGTGCAAAAATTCGGGTCGACAGTGAACGGCCCTGAAACTCTCTTAAGCCACCGAATGGCAAGGCTGGAAGCTACTGATCACAAAGCCCACACTTGAGCCCTTTCGGGAAGACGGCAACAGGCGACTAGTAGTGTAGCATGGCGTAACAGATTCTCGCTAGGCATCCTCCAACATCTTCCAACTGACCCTGGAGATGATCTGAGAAGATAACAATGACAAGGGGTATCAACTTCATGTGCACAACTGGCACCTGGAAGAATTCCTTCGTCACACCGGGGCCGCCAGCCTGCACTAAGTGCAAAAGGTTGCGCTACGGCAGGTGCCTGCATCCTGTATCTGCACAGTGCGTGCTCAGTGTATTTGGCGTTGGTTCGCCTCTTCGTCTTGAAAGCAGACCCGCAGCCTGTGCTTTTGCAGGAATCACGTCAACATGCATCAAATGTTGCTTGCGCGTTCGCCTTGCTATTTTCATGCAAGCTCTTCATCGTGAGGCTGTGGAAACTGGATGAACTCTTCACTTTGCAGCGGCGACCTCCCTAAGTCGGTGTGTCGCAGCGGCCGCACAGATCGGTAGAGCGTCAGTGCTGAGCAACAGAGCGGCTGGAACGTAACGTCCCAAGGGCTCTGAGGCCCGTCCAGTTGCGTGAGAAAGCCAGCTCTACGATTCCGCGTCCTTTCCACTTGGCCACGCGGTCGGTGGGTGTGTGTGTGACAGAGGATGATGCAGGCTGCTGTAGGTATTTGTCGCACAAGGCTGCGTGGAAACAAAAAAATTTCACTGCAAAGGATTAGTGATTGGTCGAAGAAGGACCCATTGTACGAGTAGTACATGCCGTCTCTCCCGGCAGCTGTAGGCCGGACGGCGACCGGCTCCTTGAATTGCCGGCTGTGCAGGAATCCGACCGATGTTGTTTCCTCCTCGACCACGATTGCCGCCCTTCCCGGCGACCTTGTCCTCGTTCGTTGGTCTCCTCCTCGTGGCGACGTCCGCGCCCTCCAAACCCACCGAGCTTGCAGCGTGTAGGCTTCCACATGCCAGAGGCGCGTTGTCCCACCACTTGCCGGTATGCCGTCAAGATCCGGTTGATCTCGCAGACGATCGCAGACGCTCCGCTGAGACTGCAGCAACCTTGCCATCCCCTCCAGGTGCCCGCGATGTCGGTTTCCACAGCTTGGATGACCTGGTCCAAACGGGTCCAGCCTGCCATCTTGGCTCCATCTTTGCTCAATCTTTCCTGTTGCCGCGACGACTGCTTCGCTCAGGCCTTCACCACGGGCTGTGGCTTGGCACTTGGCTGTTCTCGGTTTTTCCAGTCACTGGTCCCAAGTCTACTTACATCTGCCACATTTGTACTCGCATGTCTCCACGGAAGTATGGCACGGGCAAGCTCTCGGGCTCCCTGACGCGAGCTGCTTCGTGCGGCCGCGTCGAGGAAGACCCCTCTTGGCTGCCAAACTTCAAACTCAAAGAGGTTCTTGGCCGCGACCAAGCTTGTGGCCCCCCGTGTTTCTGCCCCTGCTCCAACAGTTATAGGCGTGCGTCTGCACGGCAAAATCAACATCATTCGCATGTGAGGCTTGTCAGGGTAGAAGGGCTGCAACTATGTGACGCACATTGGAACGGAGACCGCCAGCTTTGCCCAACAGCACGTCATGCCACATGTACAGGCATTCTGGGCCCATCCCAAGGCTGGCCAGCTTAGGACGCACTCTCACCATGGCTTGGCATTGCGAAAGTTCTGCAAAATCTCCCAAGTGCGCCCTAGGAGCTGGGTCCTAGGTGTTTCGAGGACTTCCTGAGAACTTCCTGAGGACCCAGCGGCTGACGCAGATCGGCATCCTTGAGGCTCTCGCAGAAGCGCTCCTCGGGAGCTGATTCGGCGCTGTTCGACAGCGGATGCCTTTGAAGTCCGAGCTCGCGGCCATAACAGCATGAACCAGCCGCTGAGGCCTTAGACAACTTTCCTTTGCACTGCATTTTGCAAGGCTACGGCATAGACAATGGACGCTGGGACATCCCGAGCTTCTCATGCCGCATTTTGGATGTACTCACTCATGGTTTAACTTGCTAAGGCTGCTAAGGTTTGGACTCGCGCGGAACCTGGGACAGTCAAGATGCCAGACGACTCATGGAACATCTCACAGCCCCACAGCTACACAGCCAGCCTCAAGGTGCAGAGGCACGATTCGCCCCTGCTGGCAGAATTCATTCACACGCCGCAGAAGCGGTTGCGTGGCGAAGTCTTGTGTCGCAGTCCACCGTCAACCGCCGTCCCACACAATGTTGGGAATGCAATGTTGCCTCCGATTTGGTAGGGTCCGCTATCATGCGAAGCTTCCCAGAATTACTCTGCAACCCCTATGGTTTAGGGCTACCCGGAATAATGCGAAGTTTCGGGGCCGGGGAGGACAAAACCGCAGAAAGCCAGGAGTCCTTGAGCCCTAAAGTGTGTGAAGCTTCAATGCCTCAGGCATCCTCAGGCCCTCAGCCCCAAAAGCTTGAATGCGGCTTAGTAGGCTGTTCAGGCCAAGGAAGTTTCAAAAAAGCAAGAAGCCAGGGCCCCCAATCATTTCAGCGGCGTTTCCAGAAGTTGTTGGGGAGTACTACGGAGACCATGGAGACAGCATCTTCTGGGCTGCTGAAGTACCTCTCGCGGGCAGCCCCTGCCGCGTTGGTTTCGTTTGAGGGCTCGGTTTCGTTAGGTTGGTCGCCAAACACATAATACAAACCACCACCGTCTGTCCTGCATCTGCTCCCAAACATCGCAGAGTAAGCAAACCTGCGGCTGCCATGACTCCAAGTACCAGTTGTCTAGCTTGCCACACCTGCAACATTCTGCCGCAGGCAGTCTGAGAAGGGTGCTCTGCGGAAGTTCACAGGCACGAGATTGCTGTGTGTCAGGAATGAGCCTATGCTCTTGCTCAAAGGACTTGACTTCTTGCATACCGTCAGTCACTCAGCTCTCTGCCCAAAGCGGGATAAGGAAAATGGTCGCCCGAAACGATGCTGAGTCCCAAACAAAAGTCATTAGTGATCTTGAAGCTTCGCACGTCCAGCACTTTTGGCACCTGACAACGGACTACTGCAACATATCGGGGAAGAACTGGTCGCGCTGCACTGTCCAAAAACGACTGGGGCTGCAAGAACATTGCACCGTCGCGCTGGGATGCTTCCGCCAACGTTGAAACTCCGAAAGCGGCTCGCACTTGTTGATACCTGGCAAACGAGATGCTGAGCGACATGGAGAGAACTGAGTTCAAGCATGTGGCAAAACATCGTAACATCGTTTGGCGAGAGCTCTTATTGTTGGGAGACCTTAAACACCATGAGCCCTGTAACACCATATCCTTCAACAAAACCATTCTAATCAAAATGTCTAGCAATGTTGTTCTAGCCGAGGCCAAGACCTAAGGCCTCTAAGGGGTGTTGGGAATGGCTGTGCCACAAAAATTGAGTGGCAGTGCCATCCAGGACGAAGCGTTCGTAGTCAACCTCGGCTTTCCAGGAGTTTCAGCGAACCTCCCTCTGTCACCTTATACTGCCACAGCACACAGCCGAGAGCTGTCGGAGCTATCGTGCTCTTCTGGAAATGAGAGAGACCATGGGCTGACGATGATGCCCCTTGGGTCTTGGAGCAACACCTTTGGACCACGACTGCTCTGCTCCTCAAGTCTCCTGCAATCTTTTCGAATCTTTTCGAATGTCATGTTCAGGATCTCTTGCTCGGTAGCGGAAATGTGCCATTCTGCGCCTTGTCTTGCACGGCAACTCGTTGGTGCTGTACAGAAACTGGAGCCAGCCTAGACCAGACAACGGCCCATACTGCCTCTGAAGTTTAGGAGCAAACTGGGAGCAAAGAGCGCGGGCCTACTGCATGCCAGAAGCGTTCGTCTGATTGGATGTCCTTGACATCCTGAACCTGGCAAAGCGAAAGCATGTCAGGACCTCTCCCATCACTTTGTGCTGGTCGCACAGTGAATATATCATAAGAGCTATAGCAAAATGAGTTTCTGCTCGTGCAAACAGGCCAAAGCTTGCGTGCACGACTCTGGCGTTGACTACATCCACGGCCGCCTCAGCATGTGCTCGTAATACATACGCGGTCTTGACGCATTTTTATCTCGCTTGCTGGGCCGCCTGTGCAAGCCGCTCGAAAAGGACGGTGGGCCACGAAAAGGCTAGTTCATGTGCCAACCTGCACCCATCGCTGCCCATCACATGCTCAGGCTTACAGTATGCGCGTGGGCCAACAAACTTCCTGCGCAAAGCTTGCCTGCGCCTGTCTGCCACATTCAAATGCAGCACGTACCATCCTACCGCACAAGTCTCATTGATGCACATGCGGACAGCTTGGAGAGTCTACGGAAATAAGAAATTAGGAATGCAACAAGCCCCCAGTCTAGAAAAAAATGACATATGGACATAGGGAATGGGACTGGATGCATTGGAGCGGAGAACTGCGTTTTTCTCTGGCCCGCTGTTCTTCGAGGGCCACAATGCCCGAACATGGGTCGGCGTGTCCAACAAGTGGACATCATTGATTGCGATGCTGCCAAAGATGTGTTCAAAGCTACCCGAAACACCCCCCCAGGGCTCGGCTACCAGCCAGGATCCCACCAAAGTGTTTTCGAAATAGCCTCATTCAGGGAGCCCCACGGCCCTAATGCTTTAATCCCTAAATGTCAACCGCAGAAACTGACAAGCCACCACGTTCTCAACATCCAATCTTGTTGGTGGACAGCCTCGGTGTCCACCCACCCGCGTCCCTAAACCCAGGCTTTGTCGTAAACCATCTACCCAAAGCTCCAGGGAGGCTGCAGGGGAACTCCTTCTGCAGTTTCGCCGGCGTAATACGAAAAACAAGCAAAGAGAAACGTGGCAAAGAAGTAATGCTCAGAGGAATGATTTTACGATACTACATTTAGAGCCTGGGGATAGGCAACATGGAGATACCGATGAAGTTGACGCCCTTCTCGCCAAAGTCCTATTCGCTCGGTGATGTCGATGACCCAAAACAAACGTCTTGACCTGGGACCGTGCGCAGCCAAGGCCTTCGCACGTGTCGCTCCTAAAGTATCTCCGGGCCAGCGGCAGATGTTCATCATTTACTTCGTCGACTTCTGCCTGATCCCGGCGGATGAAGCCAGCACAGGATTCGCAAATACGTGGTCCCACACAGCAGGCATGAAAGGCACAGACCATGAAGGCATCCAGCAACTCTCCGGATCTGGTATGGCAGTCCTGAGTTTCACAACTCATGTCCCTCGGTTCAAGTATGCTCACTTGCTCTGTCACTCAGTTGTCAATGTCTGCCACACGCCTGGCAAAAGTCGATATCGCAGTTCTCGGAACAGTGGTAGTAGAAGCGGTCTGTGATACCTGCCATGCTTGCATTCTCCTGCGAGGCACGCTGATGCGGGCACAATGCCGGGAGCACTGCCTCTACAACATAGCCCGGGTGTTCGAGCGCATTTAGGGCTTGATGCTGTGAACTCTTCAAACTTGTCGAGCTGTACGTGTGCCACAGTTGTCACATATCTTCTTCGTGTTGAAGACCTGTCTGCGACATTCTGCGACTTTCACTTTCCACTCCAGGAAGTGGCCTTTCAAGGTGCTAGACTCCTAGACTCGGAGCCGCACGGGGCGCCACCGCGAGGTTCCCAAGTGCACGTGCATGGTGTCTGGAGCACATCTTTGCTCTTCAATGCTCCAACACGTGCAGCTGCTACAACTGGACAAAATATACAAAATCCTCGAATGGCAGTAACTGTCAGTAACTCAGTAACTGGCCTTCCGCAGCTTCTTGCCTCTCCATCTTGTGTGGGTGCGGGATAATGCACACCTGCGGGACTACAGATGACCACAACACCATCATAGACCGTCCGCACAATGTGTTGCAGGCTTGTGACCCTCAAGAGTCGGAAGGAAGACAAATCAAATCAAAGAGCTGCTTTCACATGCCTTGCCTCGTTCTGATCTCGGGGCAATGCGTTGGTCAGGAGGGGCAAGATGGCCGACAGCAGCGCCTGGCACGCTCCTGACACCTTTCTCCAACAACATGCCTGCAGCAACCACAAGACAACTATGCGAACTGCCCATGAACTCAGCACTTCAAACAATTCGCAGGCAGCCACAGCCAAAGCTTCAAGCCCACGCCGAGGTGACCGACAACCACGTAACCGAAGGCATTGAGGGCTCCTTGGCTGTAGCACTCCACTGCCGGTACGAGTATCAGTGAGTATCATCCTGCCAGCCCTGGGTGCTGCATGCATGCGTTTGAACTGCCATCTGATTCGAAGATGTGGCTCGTCGTCGACATCCATTTCAGCCATATCATCTACGTCCAGCATTTCTGCCGCGTCTTCTTTCGGCTCCTGGCAGGTTAGATGACACTAGACACTAGGCAAGCCCATGCCAGGTGCGCGTGTTGCCACATGCGACAAAAAAAGCGGGACGTGGCAAACTGCCATGTAACTGCCATGACGCCTAAACTTCTGAGGCTGGATCCTCGGTACTTCCCGTGCCAGAGGAAGACTCTTTGTCTGGATCTGCACGAGTGATACGATGTCCCTATACGTGTTACTGGTGCCACTCCTACTTACGTGCCTGCAGGGTCTTGCACATCCATGTCTGCTTCCTGCAAGTAGGACCATAGGAGAATGGCCCGGCAGCTAACCACATGACCGCCGAGCTCCTCATGTCTGACATTTGCATCGGACTGTTCTGAGAAGTCGGATTGCGCAAATGGCCGCCTGGCAGCCGAGTCGACATGTGTAGGTGGAGGCCATGCTTGGCAGTTGCTACATGTGCCAGCCTGGGAAGTATGGGCATGACCTCTGCCTGCCATTGCCATACTTGGTCAGCTGCAACCAGATTCATCAAAAAGCCCAAGAAGACTTGCTAAGGTTTCCCGGATGAAACCATGGCCACGAAGCAAACAGGACGGCCACACAGCAGCTCCTCTTAGGAGGTCAGCTAATTGCGCAAACCATGGTGACGATCCCTGACTTGCTCTCAGTCAGGATCAGGCAGCAGCCGGAGCAATTGCTGTGTGTGAGAACTCTGGACTGACTCTGGAGGACAGATGGGGTTGTCAATCGAGTGCAGTTTTCGGCAACTCCCTTCAACATTCACACATCTTAGCAGTCAAAAGGTGCGCTTGTCAACAAGGGATTCAGGCCTCACTCCAATGAAAAGTTGGAGGGCTTTGCAACATTCTCATGTTATGAGATGGTCAATGCATGCTAAGGCTTGGTGAAGCATCCTCGTCACCCCATCATTCAGCAACAAAGTCCGTCGCATCTTCTCTAGAAAGTCAAATGCTGCACTTCAAAGTTACGTTCTGACACGGTCTTGGCACCTTGGTCACAAGGCGCTCGAAGGCGGATGTCACGCGCAAGTAGTCTCTGGAAGGGCCTTCAGTCTCCAAACCCCATCTCCTATCAGCTGCTGAAAGGTGCCAAACAGGCTCGTCTTTTGCTCTGTCACTGCTGTAACCACGTCAAGGGGGTATACTTTCTAACCACGCCACGTTGTGTTGTTACCGCGACGCGGAACCTTGTTATCAACATGACAAGCGGTGCTGTGGAGACTTTGGAAAGGACCTTCAAGGGAGCTTCTGGGAGTCATTGGAACCCAAACCCTGTCACGGTTACAGCCTTCCTTCAACACTGGATTGCCAGGTTGCTGTCCCAATTGGAGGCCAGATTGACCTCACAAGCTTGCAAGCTGAGCGGCCGTTCTGTTCAGATGCGCCGGAGAGTAGAAAGGACCTCAAATTGCGTCACATTATCGTGTCCACACCCGCGCATTTTTTCTCGGCACAAGTGCAGGACTCTGCCAAGTTGGCCTGAGTGCGCAGGGCCTCCACAACCTGAGAACGCATTCATTGTCCTTTTGTAAGGCAATGTTCCGAACTTCATGCAGAACATTTCAGAATTTCAGAACGCTTCAGTTCTTAAGCTTTGTGCCGTCGACAAGCATTGCACGCTTTTTTGGCCGTCCTTCCCAGAAACGCAAAAGTAAATGCAAAAGCGAATGCGGCATCTTCCAGCTCTCACGATCACGTACGTCTTTTGGAGGCCTCTGCAGCCAAAGCTGCATCCACAGCAGCTTCCAAAGCCTCAATGCCGAAAGGCATGGCTTGTCGCCACAATGCTTGCGCCTGCACAAGCGCGTTTCCGTGTGTGAACTATAAGTGAACTATAACACATACGACAAGCGACGTCTGTGCCTGGAGCTGTGGCGTGGCTCTTCTTGGCGTGATGGTGTGTCTGTCTGTCGAACAATATGCCCGAAGCGCCTGTGCATGGTTCTGACTGTGATGCTGAAGCATCCCGCCGTCGGGCTGCTGCTGCTGCTGCTGCTGCTGCAGCTGCTGCTGCTGCTGCTGCAAATTGATGCGCAGAATCCGTAGCATATTGCTTGAGACGAAATCTGGCAACAGAAAGCCTGTCATATCATCATCCGACTGTGAGCCACGTGCGGCACATTCTGTGGTTGGTGTGGCTGTTCAGCGGGCAAGGGCGCAGTGGAGCGCAGCTCAAGGACACCCGTGCACACGGCTAAAACCTACTAATTGAGGCTAATTGAGGTCGTCTCAATTCAAATACCTTGCTCCGATGCAACGACTCGCACGGACACAGAACACATCAGGCATTGTCAAGCATGCTTCACACTTGATGCCAACCTGTCCACCACGTCATCCGTTGTCTCACAAGTGAGACGGTTGTGGGGCACGGTTGGCCCTAAACTGCACCAGGGACATACTCTGCATTTATCAATGCGTCATGAAACCAGGCTACAGCATGCCAGTGTTGTGCCGAATGCCAGTGCTGTAATTAGTCTTAATAATCCGTGCGATGACCTGCACCTCCGGTGATCACTGCAGGGCAGCATTCACTTGGAGAAGCTACGCCGCTACGCTGCTCTGTCCAACTCGCCCTGTGCTGCTCCAGTATCGTGGCGTGGGGCCCTCTGACCAGCACTTGCGGGCGAGTTCCATGCAAGCAGTGTGCACATTGCTGGCCAATACAAGGTTAATGAAGACATGCCTCTCGTGATATTGCACATATTTGCATGTTTACATGGCCCATACTTTTAAGCTGCTTCTACTGTTGCCGTCTTGGCAAGATGCCACCCACACAGGTGGTGGCGGCTTCACGCAATCTGGGAGCACGCGCTGCTCCCTCTGTCCTTTGTACGTGCACCAACTGTTGACTGATAGCTCGCCTCAGGTACCGTAGGCCTCTTCCTCTCTCTACAACATTATGGTTCACTACAAGACTTCTAAAGCACCGTGACCTTCATGCAGCTGTCATTGGCAACTCAGGCAAGCGGGAACGGATGGAGAAGTCCTAAGCTGTGCACGACGTCAACGGCTTGGAAATAGAAGTCAGGGCCACTTGCTTAGCACCAAGGCACACGTTCCGATGCCCATGAAATTCTCCATGCCTCAGCATCTGAAGCCGCTTACAATTGATTGCAATCCACATACTGATCCATTAGCGCGCAAGAACCAGTGCTTTTTGACTGGAACTTTGTTGGAATGGCCGGCTGCCCCCGTCAGGATTGGCAAGAGCAGGCAGCTGAAGTCCACAAAGACAGATTTTTCCTGATGTGACAGAGAGTGAACAGCTTCCTGCTCGCCTGGCAACCCTTCCAGGAGGAAACAAAGAAACTTGCAAGAGCTTGGCCTGGTGTTGCCGACATCGTTTTTCAAACGAGCTCACAACGTGCACTAGCCAGTGAGACATGTTGAAACATGTTGAGTTGCTGAGCATGGAATGGCAGGGGCTCATTCAGAAAGCTGCGCTACAGGACCAGTTCAGGTTCAAGAACACTTCCTTTTGGAGTGACCAGGGGTTCGATCACTTCCTGCGCAATCTTTCCCCCGACAAAGATTTGCCAAGGCTTACTTGTCCATGCTTCTCCGCTCCTCACATGACATGACATGGCAGATGGTCACAACTGCCACCGGCTCCTCCATCATCTCTAACTTCTCCTGATGAAGTCCTTTGTCTGCCTGATCAACTCTTTCAAATTTAAGCAATCAATTTTCTGAGTTTTTGAGCGAAAGCCCACCTCTTTGGGGTACCACTCCAAGCCAGTACCTTCAACTTCACTCTTGTGGACGGTAGAGAAGCTCACGGGTGGCGGTGCTCCGGTTTTGCCTTAGTGCCCGACGCACACAAGCAGTGAAATGATTGAACTTCTATGTGCCAAGCCGTTGCCAGGATTCCTATAATCCTGTTTTCGCTTGAACGGGGTCGTTGCGGTGCTGCTGTCTGAATAACTTTGTGTTACGGCACAACCAGTACTGATATACGCGTGTATATATATATATGCATGTATCTTCATGTTTGGACAAGCAAACCGAGTCCTGGACAAAAACACAAACTTCCAAATTGCATTTACCATTTCATCAGAAGTATACTTTCAATAAGCCAACATACAAAATCGAATCATAAGTTTAAACATACAGTCGAAACACCTCTCTAGCAACCGGAGAGATCGATTGGAATCATCACACATCTTCTACAAAGAGCCGAACTGCCTCTGCCTGGATGCCCGGAGCCGAGGCAAGGGGCATTTGGGTTCTCAGGAACCCCTGTATGATCTGTGGCACCTTACCCCACACATCCACATGCACCAGCATTAACACCCCCCTCCCCCATGGTATTAAACTCTAGAGTGTTCATGGTGCATGGTTCAAGGAGTTTGCTTTAAGGGTTTGGAGTTTGGGGTTTTCACTCTGTCTGCCCTCGTGGTACATGGTGGGTTTATAAGATGGAGGGTTCCAGGGTTTAGTGTTTCCCGATACCATGGGGAGAGGGGGGATACTGTGAAGGGTGGGTGGGGTCGAAAACGTGGAGCGCAGACACATACATGGACCTAATCCGCCGAGGCCTCGGTCCGGAGGTGTATAGGTTGTCAGAACAGGCACCCCCCTCCAAATCCTCCCCCCACACCCAAAACCATTTTTCGGACCAACTGGTGTGAGCACGGCCGGGGATGAGCCGAAGAGTCCAAGCTTGAACCTAAACCCTGAACCTTAAACCTGAAACCTTAAGCCCGAAGCACTCAACCCCCCCACCCCCCCTACCCCCCCTTGAGGGGCCTGGCTCAACCCTACGATCAATCCAAACCGAACCGTCTCTTGAACCCTAACCCCAAAAAAACCCTAAACCCCAAAGCGTGAACCTTAAGCCCTAAGCCCTCAATCCTAAACTAACCCTCAACCCTAAACCCCAAACCATAAACCAGGAACCCGGAACCCTAAACCCTAAACCCAACCCTTATTGCTTGGGGTCCAGCGACTTGGCGCTGCGGAATCACCATGCTCACGCGGATGCGCTGGGCCGGGCCGAGGCGGGTCGCGTAGCGTTAAAATTATAAGACTCCCTGTGACCAAGCGCATCGGGCCAGGCGAGTGCCTGCTTCAATACTAATTCGTAGCTTGTCTGCACGCTCGGTTAGAGAATGTCGAAAAGGTATTGAGCATCGAGCACATTCGGTTCTCCTCTCGCAGCTGCGTGGAAGAACTGTGTTCGCATTTCGGCACTGCCCATGCAACCTACGAGTCGACGGCTTTTGAGGCAGCAGGCCCAAATTAATCCACCGCGTCGTATTTTGACTTTCACCTCCGGCAGGTCTGAAAAACCTTCTAGGCAGGGCACTGTCAGACATCTCTGGGCCCGGTTCTTGCACAGGTTAGAGCCTGAACTCTGTACCCGCTCGCGAACATCTTCCTTGAGCCCGGCGACTGTGCTGCCCTCTAATTGTCCAAGTTGCAAATTCTCCGAGCCTCAATGATAACTCTAGCAAGCTCCTGAATCAGTGCAGATGCACCAGCTGACACCAGTTCTGCATCTTTGCACAACCGCTTGCTGCGCCTTGCTGCTCGGCACATGTGTTGGATAAGGAGGCATGACCGGACAGGTCAAAGCAGACCTCTCCCTCCGCCACTCCTGCACCTGGGCCACATGGAGCCACTTTTTGGAAAAGACCAAACCGTGAGTGCACGAATGGATTCGTGCTGTCGGTCATCTGCCTCCCAATTGTAGGTCGCCATATCCATTCGCCATTCTTGAAGAAGCTGCAACTGCTCGCGTCTTCGAAGCCGCAGCAAGGAACTCAGTTTTAAAGTAGAAGTAAGCAGACTGCGGCACGGAAGCATTCATCGATGTTAACCGAACACAGCAGTCTTCAAGCTGTATAGGCCCCGGGCTGCACAACCTGCGTTCGCCACACGTCGGGAAGAAGGGCTTTGGTCTGTGCTTGCGCCGATGTGTCGATGTCATATCGTGCTGTTAAGTCACTTAACATTCACACATACTCACATCGCTCACGTTGCATGCCGAAACTGCAAAGTGGTCAACGGCAGAACAATCTGAACTTGTGTTTGAGCATGTGCTGTTGGCTTGCACTTGGTGCTGCTTCCTGATGCATGACAAGCCGGCCTGATCTTGGACTTTGTGGTCCTGGCCTTTGTGTATGGACGGCATCCGTCGGCAGAAGTCTGCCTTTGAGTCTGGCTTTGCCTCCTTCGATTCGTCCTCCTGCTCCTTGCGTCATTGTGATACATGTGGGCGCACATGATGTTTCACTGCATGAAGCACTGTCCTGGCCTTTTCAATCAGGTCCCGCTCAATCTGCAACATTTGCACCTTCCGATGTGTCAGTTCGTTCACAAGTTGTTGAAGTTATCAGCCGGAGGCCTTCAATGCCACGCGCGTCGTCTTCAATCGCAGAAGAGCTCGACGGAGGAAGTGCTGTAGTTGTCGAACCCGCACCAGCACATCTCGCATCATCCGCAGAGCACGGAAGGGATGCCAGCAGCGCAATGCTGCGAGCAGGCAACGCGAGTGTCCACGAGCTCGCCGGAGCCGAAGTCGATTCACAACCCTTGCAGGAATGGGAGCATGAAATAAGCAATCGGAAGCTCCACTTCTAGCGACCCCCCTGCAATCACAAAGACATTATAATGCACCCCTTGCAGAAAACGCTAAGCCGGTGTTGAACCAACACGGTTGTTTCTTCGATACCGGGCCTCGCTTGGAGTGACTGGGCACTTAAGATGGCGCTTTACGCTGCGGAACTGCGACGGTGCTACAGCTATCTGAGTCGGAAATCGGACAGCGGATCCGCAACGTTTATGTTTTTATCGATCTCGCTCTCTCTGCTTCTTCTGCTTCTGCTTCTCCTTCTCCTTCTGCTTCTTCTTCTTCTTCTTCTTCTTCTTCTTCTTCTACTTCTTCGGTACAGGAGTCCCGCGGGGTGGCCTACGCGTCGTGCCAGGGCTGGCCCCTACGCTCGCCTACGCGTCGCAGCAGCCCTGGCCCCCAGGCTGGCCTACGCGTCGTGCCAGGGTGGCACGAGCGCTGGCCCAGCGCTGGCGAGAGGGTGGTGGCAGCGCTGGGGCAGCGCTGGCTCTGTTGCCTGGGACCCAGCGCTGGTCCCGCCATCGAGTCATGGAGCCAGCGCTGGTTCGCCGCTACCTCTGTATTGCGTGGGACCCAGCGCTGGGCCAGCGCTGGCCCCCTGCACCAGCCAGCTCAGCCCTAGCCCAGCGCTGGTGTAAAACCCATCGAGCCAGCGCTGGCCCAGCGCCCCTGGCCATCAAGCCAGGGCCGGCCCAGCACTGGC